AAGCTGAAGCCCCACAGCAAACTCAGTGACTTCCCAGGCGCCCTGAGGAAACCCAAAGCATGGACAGGACGGGCAGTTTTCACACTTCCTATGGGTGCATCTTTCTCTCATTTATCCAAGCGCAGAGTGAAAATATATTACATTTTGCAGCCCTGTGGCAAAGAGGCATGCAGGTTACGTACAACTACTGTCTCCCCCTTACTCCCACCACAGACACGTGTGCCGGGACATAACCAAGCTTAACCACCCATGCTGACACCGAGCCCACCGAGGGAGCACGTGCATGCGAGGGAGGGAAGGAGGGGGATGGCCAGGTGGGTACACACAACCGGGAACCGAGGCCGTCGCTAAACGCTGGGGGAAAAACATGAGGGCTTGATCCTGGGGAATTTTGAGCTGATTCTTCTATCATCACTTTGAACAGGATTTGAATATCTTTGTGTGCGAGGATCTTGCTGGGCTCCGGGAGGACATCAGGAGTGGCAGCCCCAGACATCAGTGGAAACCTGGGCTGTAACATGTGACTTATAAGCACACCTGGATAAATTTATTATTTTTTTTCAAGTTCTCCCTCATTTTTTTTCAGTTGAGTTACAGAAAGGATGATCCTGCCTTCACAGGAGTCCTCCAGCAGCTCTTTTGGCCTTTTCCAAACCTAAGAAAAAAAATAATTTATGTTCATTTATTAACTCTCCTGCAAAAAATGGACATGCCTGGGCTTAGCTTTCCTGGGCAAGGGAAGAGATCCCCTCCAAACAGATATAACCCAGCTTCCCTTAACTGCTTTGTCTGTAAATACATCTCCTACACACATGTGTATATATATATTCCCCCTATAGAAATACCATCTACCTTGAGGCACCGTCTGCTCAGTAAACTCACATTTGGGATGGGAGCAGGGGAGCATGTAAAAATCACCCTCACAGCACATGTCAGACTTGCACCTTTCGAACCACCAAGACCCTGTACTTGACCTCTTTTTTCCTCAGGTGCTACAGAAATATTTATACTTTGATGTCTTCTCCACGTGAAGGTAGGCTGACTCCAGTCAATTTTGAAAAACGCAAGAAACACAAGCCCAGGCAATGGACATAGAATGGTTAGGGTTGGAAGGGACCTCAAAGATCATCTAGTTCCAACCCCCCTGCCATGGGCAGGGAAACCCTCCACTAAACCAGGTTGCCCAAAGCCTCATCCAATCTGGCCTTGAACACTTCCAGGGATGGGGCATCCACAACGTCTCTGGGCAACCTGTTCCAGTGCCTCACCACCCTCTGAGTGAAGAATTTCTTCCTTATATCTAATCTAAATCTGCCCTCTTTCAGTTTAAATCCATTGCCCCTTGTCTTATCACTACACGCCCTTGTAAAAAGTCCCTCTCCAGCTTTCCTGTAGGCCCCCTCTAAGTACTGGAAGGCTGCAATAAGATCACCCCAGAGCCTTCTCTTCTCCAGGCTGAACAACCCCAACTCTCTCAGGCCACAAGCTGTGTGGGCACTGCAAGGAGAGAGCCTGGCCCTTACCTCCCTCCCAGTCTCCACTCAGGGAGATTCCTGCAGGCTTGCCTACTGACCACATCACAGCATTGCGTGACAAGATTAACTTGGTGTTACTCATAGCGCTAACGAACAGGCATCTGGTTTCCAGTGTTTTGGAACCAAATCGGCAGTTGCGCTATTAAAGGCTGGATGTTTTTTTATGACTTTGCATTGTTTTGCAAGCACGAGTAACAAATGTAATTGAACATTGCATTTTGGAGTAAGCACCTGATGTCCCAGGCAGAAGAAATCCTCCTTTGCGTTTACATCACCCCACAGTTGGCCAACTGCTTATGGTCTGAGCAAGTTACAGAGGCATCGCTGCAGTGGATATTCTCTTTCATGGAACAGTGTTAGGGATACGTACTGTAACTCCCATGCTTGGATACCTCTTGGAAGAGCTTCAAACATATAAGCCCTAGGAAGAGGGGAATTCACCAAGTAGGCATGTCGTTCCCAGAGGTATGTGTGTGCCTCTCCCATTGCGCAGCTACTGGGCAGGGTGAGGGTCAGCTCACATGGAACAACCAGAGGCAAGATGCCACCACATAACTGGCTTTAGCTACATAAAGGTTACTGCATGGGTTAAACTGGAGGTGCCTGCCTTTCCCATCGATTACTCCTCATTTTCAGAGGGCTGAAGCTAAGAGTAGCCTCTTCTCCTGGCAAGTGACAGTTTGCTTTGCAGACAAACATTTATATACCTATAAAAACTCAGGCAGCCCTTGGGCAACCAGCTCCTTTCCCCAGAGTGGCCAGCACAGCTTGCTGAGGGCAGGCTCTCACCCAAAGTCATGCAGGACACACAGAAAAGGCAGCCTGGTCCTCACTCCTCTTCAGCAGCCTTGCTGGAGGCCAGGCTCCGTGCAGGCACCTGAGCGAGTCTCGAGGACTGAGAAAGTCGAAATGCTTCGCCATAAAGGGTAAATGCGTTCACTCTCTGACAGACACGTGGGACTGAGGTCAGGAAGCACTTGCGCAAGAAGGTCAGATGTAAAAAGGGACTTTGCAGGAAGGTATAAGGCCTCCAAGATGCTTCCTCAATGCCGTGGGTGAGGGGCAGGGAGTTCAAACCACTGCTACAAACGAGGAAAGCCCACTGCCTCTTGCAGCATATGATGCACTGGACATGGCCACCTTCCTGGAGGCCTGCAGAGACATGCCAACATTTGACACCGCCAGTCTGAACCGTGAGGAGAGAGCAGGCCATCGCAGAGGTAAGCAACAGCCCTGCTTTCAGAAAAGCAAATGCCTTGAGCCAGCTCTGTTTACTTTGGAAGATGCTTTCCAGCCCACACACAACCCTATCTCTGGGCTTTCTCGCAGCCTTAACCCTTAACGCTAAGCCCAGGCTAAACCAGAGGCAAGAGCCTCTCTCTGTCCACAGACTAAATACTCCTCAGAGAAGATGACGAGTGCCAGCACTTCGTTTACATTGCAT